TCCTGCTCCTACTCCGACCGCACCCCACGCAAATCCAACTGCTACTGTTGGTCCTGCCGCACATCGTCGACTACTACTACCACTACCACTACCACTACCACTACCACTACTGCTACTGCTACTTCTAGAACTGGTGCTAGTACCTGTTCCCGTAGTACCAGTAATGGTCCGGTAGCAATATAGATTATTAGTAATAATGGGGTTGTCCTACTTCTAACTCTGTTCGAACCGACTTACTGAATCCCCTGATCCTCTCAATCGTCTACTTACTTGTCCAGTAGCTAACCTTTGGGATTGTATAGGGACTATCTGTCTGGTGCTTGGTAGGGAATGGGGGAACGGATCCCTATGATAGTCTTCTGAAGTCACTTATAGTAGTCCCAATAACCCATTCCCCCATTCCCTACTAAGCTCCAGATAGTTATAATGCCCCAAAAGAGGTTAAAGCTTCCCGACTCTTCTGGTACGCCTGAGTTTCCAGCCATCGGAGATTGGGCATCGAAGTTCGAGAACGGTCAGGATTCCGTGCAGCGGGGACATCATGCAGTTTAGGGTTACGCTTGTTCGAGGTTTCGGGGTTTATCTACGGTTTGTTGGGAACTGGGGTTTGCAGGTTTCTGTGGTTTTGGAACTTGTTGGAGGCTTCTTTACAACGGCCTAAACGTCTGGGAATCCCCTTCTGAGTGAGCCAGTGTGTGGTTGGAACCTCATACAGTATCCTAATGTGCAGCAGTGAAACCAAGTCTCACTTGCACCGTCGACAGTCAATGTGGCTTGACTTCAGCAGCACAGAGCACTCACGTTGACATCCCACCTCTCGGGCATTCCAAAGTCTAAGGTTGAACCCATGGGCCCCTAGTATGGGCCCTTAACCCTGGGATCCTGATACGCCTACTATATACCCTATATGTACCCTTAAGGGTCCCTAGAAAGGCCTAAGGGTCCATATTAGGGGCCCATACTTCTGACCCTAAACCCTAAACCCTAAACCCTAGACCCTAAACCCTAAACCCTAAACCCCAAAGACCAACACGAAACCCCCTGACTCGAAGACCGACCCCTGCACCTAACAAGCAAACAACAAACCTCCGGTTTAGGGTTTAGGGTTTAGGGTTTAGGGTTTAGGGTTACCTCCAAGCCTGAGGGATAAACAACAAAACCCATACCCTGAACCCTATCAGCACCTTTTTCCCATCGTAACGCCATTATCTTGGATCAGCCCTTGACTTAAATATGTATGACCACCCTAAACCCTAATTCCTAAACCCTAGACCAAGAATTAAGAATGACCTCAGCCCGTCAAGGATCGGCACCTGGGTGCAGGGCGGCGGTGCTTCGCCGGCCGGCTGCGCGTTGGCGTCGCAGGGAATTTCCGCCGACGCCTCGGCCCCGGGCATAGCATAGGGCCTTAATGATTAGAATAGGGTTTTGGGGTCCTTTATAATATAATGATAATAAGGAACCCCTAAAATAATATAGGTAGTTATTGAGGCCCCTATATTAGGGCCTGAATGATTCATACTATAGTTATTTAGAGACGCCACGGGAATGTTGTTGTTAGTTATTCCAACCGGTTTGTATTGGACAGGCCTGTAGTGAGAATAGCATTGATGTTGCTTCGGGCTTGGGTTTAGGGTTTAAGTTTAGGGTTTAGGGTTTAGGGTTTAGGGGGTTCCATGTCTGAAACATCTTCCGCAAATCTTTGTTTCGCTGGGGTTGTGGGTTAACATGTTGAGTTTAGGAGGTGGTGACCATATTCCACCGTGTGAGTTCCGAGCCCCTAAACCCTAAACCCCTAAACCCTAAACCCTAAACTCTAAACCCTAAACCCTAAGGTCGAGGCTCAGCTTGGATAAGGCCGTGGTGACGGGCTTGCAGTGGTGGGGAAGTACGTTGGGAGCTCAGAAGGCACGGATACAGGGTGTCCTCACCCCTAATTGGAGGATCATAGAAATTAGTATTGGGTATATAATGATACTTTAATTGGAGTTTTGATAAGATGTAACTGTACTTACATTCCTACTTACTGAATCCCCTGATCCTCTAAGCAAGCCAGCAACGCCAAATCAAAAAACGCGGAAGCGCTACAAGCCCCCCAAACTCTACATACCCGACCCTAAAACTCCAGCACCCTAAATCCCAAAGCCTCGAATCCTCAACACCAAGCCCGGTTAAGCCAACAAAGCAGCCGCCTGGCGCTGGCGCTTCTTCTCAAGCGCTGCCTGCCTGCTCTGCTCCAGCCGTTGACGCTGCTCTGCAGACACCTCTGCAGCGCTCGTTTTTGAAACTTCTCAAACTTGGGATCCTAAACCCTAAACCCTAAACCCGTTTTGCGGTGAATGTTCGGGGCCCCCAAGATAGGGAAACTTCCTGCCTGGAACTAATATAGAGGCCGCCATAATTAGAAAAGGCTTTCGGGGTCCTTTATAGTATTACGTGTAGGTGAGGCCTCTATACTTGTGCTACATGGGAACGTTTCGGGCGCAAGGTTGGGAATGTGAGACAGTGTAGGGACCTTAAAGATCTGAGTAGGGTTTTCGGTCAATGCAAATTTAACTTTATAAGGATTATAAGGACGAGTCATGGAAAAAGTACTACTGATAGCTCAGCCGTAACAGTAGATCTGCATGCCTTGAAGCGCTGGGGCCGCTGGGGTTCATGCATGGTACCTTTTTACTAATGGTTTAAGCCAGATTCGGCATCACGCGCCCCAAGCCCCAAACCATCGACCCAAGCTCTGCATCCGTAACCTCACATCCCTAAACCCTAAACCGTGCCCAGCAGCCCCTGTGGAGCCGTGGACAGGTGCCACAGCTTTGATCTGCTTCAGGAGATTGCCGAAGTCTAAGGCACTCCATTGGGCCAACGTCCTTCTGGGGTTTAGGATTTAGGGTTTAGGGTTGCAGGTTTAG